AGCTGGGCATGTGAACAAACCCCACTCTGGTATGTTCCCTCCACTCAGTGCATCAGAAGGTTGTTTAGAGATCTTGAAGGAGTGGAAGGTGGGTTGCTTAAGTCTCTGTAAGATCTGCAATTTATATGATGTTACTTGGACAGCAGGGTCAGATAGAAAGATAGGAGAGCAGGAGTGGTAAATCACTGAACTCTTCGCTATTATGAAAAGAATATGAAATGAGCTTGTAAACACCTGTATTTTTCTTTATATGAAGGGCTTCAATGAGCAGTTATACCTGAAGAGTTTCATCAAACCTGGTAAGGTGGACTGTTCTGGCTGAGAGCAGAGTTTAGCTCACTTGCTGTTCTGAGGTGTATCAGTGGACTAGGAGTTATCAGAGGGATATGAAGGAGGTGATCAGGTGAGCAGCTATGTGCACCCCTTCCCATCAGCACAGGACTCCCTTGCAAATGTATTTTATTTAATTGCTGCAGGTCCAAAACAAGAACTGAGAAGATGGGAACGAGGACGTGAGCAAAGAAGTGGTGCTAGAAGCTCTGCTGTGTCCAGGGAGTTGTAGTGATTATATTTTCCAATTCAACAGCTCAGGATAGAAAGACAAGAGATTCTCATTTCTGTGCTTGTGCATGCATACGCTTTCCTTTTAGGAAGGACCAAGTGGGTAGTCCTTGTTTTTCTTATTGCCAGAGGGATTTGGAACTGCTAGAGGTAGGAGATTTGTCTTGACAATATAGCCCTGTAGAAAATGAAAATCCAATAGAAAATCAAAATTTCAAAGGTGGCTTTTCTCCCCTCTACCCCACTACCATCCTGAACTTCATTTGTCTTTGGGGGAAGTTGGTTTATTTCTTTCTGCCTCTCCAAAAACCAGTGTTTTCTGCACCCCGTGCACCTGCCTACTCAAGCACTTCTCTGCATTTGGGTCCCTGGGGTCACCTGTAACCGCAAGATGATGGGAGAAGAAAGTTCCATCAACTTTGAGCCCTGTGGTTGGTGTTTCTCACTTCTTCAGTTTGATCCAATATCGTTCTTTTAGTGGGTGCTGCTGACAGCCAGAAGAGTTGCCTTTCCCCTGCTCGCTTTCGCTGCAGAATGTGTCCTGTGAGGTCCATTTTATCCCTTGAGTGAGCAGGCAGGAGACATCTCTTTTGTGGCAAGAGTATGCCAAAACCTTTCTGATTTTTCAGGTTATTTGGGAGTGTTGGCAAGGCTGGCACTTGTTAAGCAATAGCTGGTATGTGAGACTTCTCCATAGCAGTTTACTTCAAAACACAAAACGTTCTTTCAACGAACATCTGTGGTGGTGAAGATGAAAATTAACCTGAATAAATCAGTCTGAGTAGCACACAACATCCTTTCAAACCTTTTACCAGTCAAACACTCTATAACTGAGTTATACCTGCTTTCATGCCGTATTTAATGACATGATTTCAAGTTATTCAATAATTTTCTGTGTAAATGAGAGAAGAAACAGAAGAACTTCTGGTAACATCTTACTAAGTGAGTAGAAAGTGATAAAAGCAGTGGATAAATGCCTTCAAAAGAACAAGAAGTTGCTTATTGAATTGCTTATTGATCTGGAAGAATCAATAGCCTAACAGCTGCTAGTGTCTGAAAGTTGTATGCAGGTACTTTTAAGATACAAACAAGAGAAGATTTTGATTTGAAGTGGTGGACTGAACCCTGGAACAAACTGAGGGTACACTGGTCAATTCTTGATTTCTTCAAGTCTAAATCAGAAACCCTTCTAGAAAACATGAGTTAGTTAAAAGTAAACTTTTAATTTTATAATAGTATGAAATATAATGACTTATGAGATACTGGAGGTCAAATGTAGTAATCTGGAAGGATTTTTAAACATAACATCTGTACATATATGAACAAAATCTCTTAGGTCTTGGGCAAACCAAAGTTAAACAAAATAAGAGGAAAATCAAATCCTGGTTGAGAAGCAAAAAGATGAATTGTTATCATCCACATTTCTGCTTAAAATCTGTGAAGTTTCTTTGTTGCTTTTCCAGATCCAAGGTTGTGTGAGTAAAAATTTTTCACTGTAGTGTCTTGTACCATCCAAGTTCCTAGTTATCATTCAGGCAATTTGAAACCAGAGGTGCAGCATTAGATAAATTACATATATCAAAGAGCAGGATGAATTCTCTGCAATGACAGATATATTCTAGTTTAATATCAGTCCAAATACTAGTTAGTGGCAAGATAACTCTCCTAGCTCCCTACAAAAAACAGGGCTGATTACAGACCTCCACCCGGGGATTTTAAGCTCATCCTGGTTATCCAAATGAGGATCTCATTCTCTGAGAGCATGAATGGGGACCATGTGAGAGGTCCTGGAGACTCACCATCACTGCTGGGTGCTCCTTTCCTCTGGTTGTGTTGAGGAGAGCTGAAGGCATGCTTGTGCTTGCAAGTAGCCCCTCTTGATACCGCAGCATCACTGTGGTATCTATTGCACAAGGGGGTTCCTGGGGTGACAGGACTTGTATGTACAGTAGGCTTTGATCCAGCCAGCACTCCTCTCAAATCACTGCAAGGACCTGCCAAAGTCAATTTATTAGGAAGGAAAGTTTTAAGCAGTGTAGAGGAAAGCACCACTGCCCCACATCAGAGAAACATAAACAGAGAATAAGCCTCAAGCTTTTTTGGTATGGGAAGCCTGGAGATATGAAACATCACTCAGTGACAACTATGAGTTGTTCATGTGTAAGTGGGTTATTATAAATCTGAAATGAGACTCCTGAGGCATCAAAATAACACCAAAAGCAATCTTGGAGAAGGTAGGAGTGATGCTGTACACTCTCATCACTTTCACAAAAAATACATCTTCAAGGAAGAGAATATATTAAAAATTGCTGAGCCTTTGGAAGGAAGCAAGGACCTCAGGAGAAATTTTACAAATAGAGCTCACTTGACAAGACAAAATTGACTCTCCCACTTGACCCAAAAAAGATATCGCTACCTGGGATCTTGTTACAGCAACGTGCTTTTTATAATCAACAATATTTGCAGCATACTTTTACATTTAGAGGTGTCCCAGTTGCTACCTGTGTGCTTATCACCATGGTTCTGCTTTAATTGACTTGTGGTGTGGACTTTAATGGAATCTCAGCTGTTTGTCCCTGAAGAGAATTTTGCCTGTGGCTTTCACTCAGGACACTTGAAAGATCCTTTGAATCTGTCTTTCTGGAGCTTGGAGTCTTAATTGCTATGCTTTGAGTAGATTTACTGGAGGGTAGAGAACTCCATGTTTTAAGAGTGAAGGCATTGTTCACCCGATTAAATTAAAATGCACAAGATGTGGCAACTCAGGAGCAATTAATTACAATAACAATATTAACTAGTTATTTCAGAGTCAAATCTGGGTGGTGGTGTGTCAGATTGTGCACACATCAAGTGTGATCTGATGCAGATGCTCACCTTATTTTGCTGTAGCTTGGCTGACTTGCATGGACTGAAAAGTTGGTCTGTGACATCTCCTCTGGTTTCTGCTTTGAAACCTCAGTTATACCTTTGCTTGGCTGTGCTGATTGTACATGCCTTTTCCTCTCATGTACTTGCCACGATCTTGCCTTTCCCATCTGAACAAGATAGAGTGCTCTCATTGTAGGATAAAGTTCCTGTACCTTACCAGCTCCAGATTTTGACTTCCAACAATAGGACGTCCATAATGGCAAATTATAGATGAGAGAGAGATTTTGGCTGTAATGGTGAGATATGTTTAACTGAAAAACTCAGCTTAGAGTTCAGATTCATTTAAGTGAAGGCTTTTCTTCCCCGTCTCTTGTCCTACCACTATCTCTCCTGTAAGCAAGAGAGTTTTTGCCGTTAGTAACTGTGGTGAAGAATCTGACTTTCTTGTTCTCAACAGGGAAAGGAGGGGTTTGTTTATCACTTCACCCCATCTACAAAGTCTGGCCCGCTAATGTTGTTGCTTATGAACTCGAGTGTGAGAATATATTTCACAGCTCATATGAGAGTTCGCTACTTTGACTGTTGAGTTCTTGTGGCTGTTGGTGATGCAATCATGTTGGGAAGGTGAAGCTTCAGGCAGAGCAACTTTTCTTTGAACTCCTCCTGCTACAGCTATTAAAAATAGGTCAGGGTAGAGAAAAGTAGGTCTAGCTTTCAAGAATATATTAAGCTAATTTATCATGCGTTGTAGACTGATACATGTTCAAGGTGATGCCTTAAGGTCCATCTGGTTTTTTGATTTTTCTAATTTTTATAAGTTTTATAAGTAGTTATACAGCAGGAGTAGATTTAGAAGCAGCAGCATTTCATTCCTTTACCCTTAACACAGAAGCTAAACACGTTCTCCAACCCTTTTACCCCATTCTATGCTCCCTGTATCAATTCTACCCCTGGATTCCATTAGAACATGTTTAGTCTCACACTAAGATAGGCCCGTTCTGTTTGGAGAATGCCTGTATCTTGGCCTAAACCGCAGATCACAGTCAGAAACTAGGTGACCATGTACCCCTTGTACTCTGAAGAAGATGAAGATTGATGAAGAGAGGGTCTCAGAGACCCCAGCCCCAATTCCCAAGGGGCATGACTGAGGGTGATCCAGAGCGAAAGACAAAGGGAGGATAAAACCTCGGATTGGACAAGCAGTATTATAAATTGTAACATGAGTACAGAGGGACTTGCCCACGCATCTTGTAATCTTATGCCTAGGCACAAATTAAAACCCTTTCCTTATCTCACCTTCAAAACTAAATTGTCTCAGAGTTTTTTCTCCCTGAATTTTCTTTTAGGCATCAAAGGCAATAGTGATAGAGCCAGTCTCATAAACAGTAACAATCTTAGTCAAAAACAGTTGGATGTGCAAAATACAGTTTCATATAATGGGTGAGAAGGGTTAAGAGTCTGATGTTTCTCATAGCTAGTTCCTTTTTTCCTATTCTCCTCTCCAGCCCCCAAAAAAGAAGACAACACAAAAAAGCCCACAAACAAAAAAAACAACGGTCTGACTGCCAGCTTCTGCCTTTCTTTAATGAATTACTTCATACAATTATAAATTAAAAAAGAAATCACACAATAACAAATCAAGATGAGCAGGTAAGCAGAGATTTCAGAGCTAAAAGGAAGGATTACCATAGACTAAGCCAATGCATGAAAATGGTAAATACCGGATGACAGAGAAATTAACTGTTTGGAGCTACTGTCTGAATGATATTAAGGATATTGATTAACCAAAATGATGTATGGATAATTTCTGTGAGATGTGCATGCAAGAAGAGTTTATTTCTTTATTTGGGTTTTACTTTTTACCTGTGCCAAATCGTGCTAAATGAATGAGCTCAATTCAATTGATTTCATATGTGTTTGTGGAATTTGTATCTCACATTTTCTGTATGTTTTATGTTGACTCCATCTTCATGGAACCACAAGCCAAATTTTTTGAAGAAGCATCTAAGAAATGGGATCTAGATACTTTTGTTATGAGGCTTGTACTCATAACATAATGAGGCTTGTCATTGTACAGTAACTCAAAATGTTATTTGAGTTCTCATTTCAGATTAAAATGATTTAGGGTGGTGCAAGAGATTCATGCTGGCTTCCATCTTGTTGTTTGCCCATGATAATTAGAGTAAAAGAACACAACAAAAAATTTTTGTCTTCTTGACTGGACTCAAAAACTCTCCCTTCTGGCCTTGTATGTTCTTTCCCTGTGGTGGGATCTAGGATACAAGCACAGAGGGAAGAAGGAAGCAGGCAAGTAAGTGCATGATCCAGAACTTCATACTCTGGTCCAGAGGAGGTCATGTAATTTGGGATGGCTTTAGCTGTGTTATTTTGTGGCAGCTAGGGTAGCACCACCCACAATCACGAATGAAAAGGAGTCGTCCATGAGGCATAATTAAAAGCCAGGTGACCCTTCTTTCTTCAAGAGGAATAGAAAATAAATAAATCCTCTGCAGTTGTCATAAAAAGTAAATACAGGTTTCCAGGGAGTGGGATTGGCTCTTTGTTTCTCCTGGTGCTGGTAGGAAGTTACTCTATCATGCTTGGTGAGGTTACCCCAGAGTGATGTGAGCAGTGACGACTACCCAGTTTGGGGCCATGTCAATATATCATTGATGCTTTCATAAATCACTTTCAGAGTTGGTGTTACATTTGGATGCACTCAGGTAACTTGTGAAGCAGCCCTCTACTTGACCATGTACTTTGAACAGGTAATAAAAATATGTATTTAGTAATTTTTAGACTATCACACTATTTTCCTTTCTAAATTTACAGCAACTGATGTAAAAAACCAAACAAACAAACAAATGAAAAACCTGTCCCAACATCCCTTCTCCCTGTATGACTAAAGAACTTGCATGTTTTGGTGAGGATGTGTTTTGCTAGAAGCATTATCCAAAGGTACTTTCCAGAAATGCCGGCAACTCTTTGACGCATTATTTTAATTTGTTGTAGCCATTATGGTTGCTATGATTTTCTTGAAGCTCCCAAGGGATGACCCTGACCTGTGTTTGAGCTTGGACAGTTCAGGCATCTTTTTGGTGGGTCTGGCAGAATTAAACTTGCTGGCCCAAGGTAAAAGAGCTAATGCCTGTCTACTCCTGCCACTAAGCTGGGGAAGTACCCTGAAGAAAATCCAGGCTGCCTGCCACTCGTTCTTTAGCGTGCTGAGAAATTTGGGGAAAGTAACAACTATTTCAGGAAGGCTGCTCTTTCCTCCATCACCCCTGAGTGACGGTAGTTCTGCACATCATCTTCCTTCCGCAACAGCAAGCTTGGCTTTCCCAGGCTCTGATGTAGGCAGCTGCTGCCTTAAACTTCTTCCTTTATTACCTGGGCTGAGACAAAAAATTCGGTAATCCTCACCATGCCACACATGTCCTGAAATGACTTGGACAGATTATGTCACTTAGTATGATTGTACCCTGCCCCAGAAGCTTTGGTATTCCCATGGCTTCTCTCGCACCTCGCAACAGGAGCGAAGAGGAGGCTTGTGTAGTGATCATGCTGTGGAAGGAGGGATTTTTATTCTTTTTTGAGATTCCTGGATTGCTCCAGAACATTGTTGCATGGGGGAGAGGGGAAGAAAACTGAGAGACAGGTTTCCTGCCAGTAGTTATTTTACATGGTCTAAGCAGAGGGAAACTAGAAGGAAGGAAAGGCAGTGCATACAATGATCTCACTGAGGCAAAAACAAAATGCAGAAGCCAGAGCTTTGCTTGGACTGGCCCCTTAGCTAGCCTGTTATAGGGTTGTCTCCAGCTGAAAAGCAGTCTGTTGCTCTTCTCCCCTTTTATTTGAGGCAAAGCAAATGGCTGAATGTTAGAAGGCATGGCAGTGGCCTTGTTTCCACTTTAGAGATTAGAGTCCTGCCAGAGTGAGTCCAGGAACAGCACAGGTATAACTTCTTCATCTCATGTTGGCTGCAAGGGTTTGATTCTCTGGGAGGCTGTCTTCCAGGGACTTTTCAGCAAACAATAAAATTATGAAACAGCACTAGACTTAATGATTCTTAATTGAGCAGATCTCCCCTGGAATGAGTGGGTTGTTTACTGCTTTGCAGCCCACAGAATTTGTTTTTGAACTCCCATTTTCTCAGTTTGAGGGAAAAACGGAAAGAAAAGAAAAACAAACACTCAAATTGTAGAATGAATTTTGAGCTGAATTCTGCTCCCTAGTGTTTTTTTTTCTTTTTTTTATGTTTCTAGCGGATTGCAAACAAAGAAGGAAGTTTTCCTCATGTAAGGAGTTCTTACCCAGCATACCATCAGCATACCCAACTCCCCTCTTCCCCCATCTCTTCAGCATCTCTTGTATAGGAGAGGAAAGAAGTATGTGCAATTGATACATGGGGTGCTGGATACCAAGAGAGCTTGGCTGCCAGGCAAGTGTTTCAGAGCCAATTCCACCCTGAGATGGACAGAGGATCTTGGGATACATGGAGATCATGATTTCCCCATGGGAGTGCGATTGGATCAGTATAGCACTTAGGTATTACAATTTGTTGAGCATAAGAAAGAAATGACAGGTGAATAGAACAGAATGGGGGGAAATAAAATTTATATTATCAAGTTGTCACTAAGTTTTATACAGAAAAGCTTTTCTTTGTGCTGAAAATACAGATAAATGTGAATCTGCCTGAAGTGGTTTGGCTTTGCCCTCATGACCATGAGAATTAAAGTTCCCTATTACCCCAAGCAATCAAGAAAGTAGGAAGCAGATAATGGAACGTTTCTGTCACCACTGAGGAGGGCTCCCATTAAATTGCTTGTAGGTCTTTGGAAAGGTCAGTCAAAGCTTAAGCAACCCCCTGTTGTTTGACAACATCAGAGCTCAAACACCACTATCCTGGAGAACTCTGCTCTTTGAAAGAGGGGGATGTTTAATTACCTTTTGAAAGCTGGCAGCAGGACAGGATGCAAGGATGTTTTCTTTCCTTTGTGTCAGTTGAACAAGTTGCTATTTTTGTACATGAGAGCAAGTAACCCACCACACTAGAGGAGACTGTCCCTTCCTCTGGCCTGCTGTTGGGAGAAAAGCAAAGGCAAGAGGATATTAGTGAAGGTGAGCCTGCTGCAGGAAGGAAGCCTTGACACAAGAATGTTTGTGGAAGGGGAGACGGAGGCTTATGATGCCTTTCTTAATGCTGTATCAATGTGTCGATTCTGTTTGCCTTTAAATATATACTTATTTATTGGCCTTGTTTTACAGGAAGACATTGGTGCAGTTTCAGGAAATCGACTGCTGTCACTTTAATGAAATTTGCTTTCATCATCAAAGGATCTGGCAAACTGTTTGTGGGAGTTTTAATTTTTAAAATTGCAATGCATCTGCTCCCTCCCAGGGGCAGTCTTTCACGGCATTGGCTGTATGCACTTCAACTACATCATTTTTTTTTCCGAGGGTTTGGATTTGTGGTATCTCAACAAGCTAAACAGAAACTGTGCCTCAGGGAGAAACATCCTCTTAAGTAACTGAAAATAAACTTGGATGACATGCCTTTTGTAATATACAAATTCAGCTGTGCACATGGTGGGAATGGAGCATTAGACATGGTACCTACCACTGTAAAGAGAACACAAATGTATGCGTAACATATGCTTGTGGTAAACATGAAAGAGATGTATGAGAGGAAAAGGCCAGTTAGTTTGGGTATCTTCAGCTAAACCTGGCCAAGAGGCAGAGTATCCCTCATTCTAATTTCATGTACAGTACATGAAGTAAGAACAAACCCTTACTGTGCTAGTTCTTCGTTCCATCAGCATTCACAGGGATTTGACGTTGCTTTGGTGGAAAGGCCTGGATCATTAGTTCTCAGGGATTATGACTGAGTACAAAATCTAAAGCAGATTTGTCTCAACCAGGACATGCTGCCAGATCAATAGGCACACCAGCTCAGTGAACAGGGAGGAGTTTGTGCCTACCAAGGGTTTAGTAGGGCAGTGTAGCCTTGTGCGGACATGATGGTCTCATCATAGTTTCATTAGGAAATGAAAGCTTGTCTAGGAGCGAAAGTTGATGCTATAGATGTAAGAGGTGCTTATCCTTGGTGGAATATATATAACACTAGAGTGGAAGAGTCACATCTAGGTTTGATGTAGCTGTGGGTTTATCTATTCATAATGAGCAAAATATATGGTCTTCCTAAACTTTATTCTGCAGCTATGTACTGTTTTTTTCTGGGAGAGAGTTAATTTTTTTCATAGTAGCTTGCATGGTATTCTGTTTTGGATTTGTGATGAAAAGTGTTGATAACATAAGAATGTTTAAGTTATTGCTGAGCAGTGCTTGCACAGCATCAAGGCCTTTTCTGCTTTGCATACTGCCCCACCAGTGGGCATGCTGAGGGTACACAAGAAGCCAGGAGAAGACACAGCTGGTACCATTGACCACTGACCCCAACTGACCAGAGGGATATCCCAGTGCCATATGGCACCATGCCCAACAATAAAAGCTGCAGGAAACGAAGAAGGTGGGGAGGACATTTTGAGCTATGGCATTTGCTTTCTCAAGTAACTGTTATGTGTGACAGAGCCCTGCTCTCCTGGAGATGGCTGATGAGAAGCAGTGAATTAATTCCTTATTTTGCTTTA